ATTAGTATTTTTAAAACTTTCTACATGATTCCAATGTGAAGAAATGTGTATCAGCACACAATACACCATAATGTCAGATTATATAACTTTTGTTAATCTGAGGAGCAGGGCATAAAAGCTGGAATTAGGCTTTATCTCAGAACCCAGTGCCAAGCCTATCACAGAGACACCAAGTACCCAGCAGCAACTGAAGGACTCATGTGCAGGCCAGAGCTCACAGATCATCTAGACCAGATCCCACATTAGGCAGAGGCCTGTGCATCAGCAGGAAAGACTGGAATTTCAACTACATCAGTTCCAGCTTTGAAGTGGGCCTGGGTATTACTGCCTTCCTCCTGAGACTATTCCGGTTCCTGTATCCGAGTCTCACTTTTGTCCCAGCTTAGCACTAGTTGCGCAGGCCAAAGGATAGTCTCCACCATCCATTCCCCAACCTTTTTTTACAAAGAAATAATAACAGAAAACTCCTCAAACCTAGAGATAGATACAAGATTCAAGTACCAGAAGTTCAAAAATCACTGTCAAATTTGACTCAACCAAGCCATCCCAAGTTCTCACAGCCAAGATAAAGAGAAAGTTCTTAAGACTACAAGAGCCAAGAAACATGTAATACATGGAGTGGGCCCCTAATGCCTAAAAATGAACTTCCCAGCAGAAAGTTTATAAGCAGAAGAAAGTAGCATGAAATTTTCCAAGAACTGAAGAGGAAAAAAAAATCTATCAACTGATAATACTGTACCTAGAAAAAATAAATTTTAAAAATTAAGAAAGGATAAAGATTTTTCCCAGACAAACAAAAGCTGGTCTCTCTCAAATCTGTTTTACAAGAACTGATAAACACATTCCTCAAACTGGGGAAAAAAAAAGAATGTAAATTGAGTAAGAAGAAAACATAGGAAGCTATAAAACATACTGGAATAGTAATTGTATCAGCAACTTCAGAAAGATCTAATATTATAAGAAAGGTGCATAAATCATTTATATACTTAGCCTGAAGAATAAAAAAACAAAAGTAATAGATACATTAATATGTTAAACAATAGGCAATACAGAAATATATAAAATGGGATATCAAAAACTGAAAAGATGGGGAGGAATTAAGTGAAACTTCAGGTTTTCCTTATTAGAATGTTTTATCTTCTTTTGTTTGTTTCTATACTTATCCCTTAGATCATGTTCGGTGGCCATCATGTCAAAATAGGTTGATATAATATAAAGGTGCTATTTATAAACTTTCTAAAAACTGCAAAGCAAAAATTTCTAACAAATGAACAAAATCAATAAGCAAGGAATCAAAACACACTACTAGGGGTAATTCACCTAAGCAACAAGGAAGAGTATAGGAGAGGAGGAAAAAAAAAGGAAGTACAAAAACCTAAACAATACATTACAGAATGGCTATAGTAAGACATAGCTCATCAGTAATTACCTTAAATGTAAATTGATTAATTTTTTCTATAATTAAAAGATACACAGTAGCAATATATATATATATTTTAAAAGGGCTCAATCATATGTTGCTTACAAGAAACTCACTTCAACTCTAAGGACATATAGAACTAAAAGTGAAGAGATAACAGAAACGGGCATACTAATATCAGATAAAAATGGACTTTAAAACAAAAGCAGTTAAAAAACAAAAGGAGGGTCATTATATATTGATAAAGTAGTCAATTCAGCAAGAGGAAATAACAGTTCTCAATTCATAATGCACCCAATATCAGGGCACTCTAATACACAAAGTGAGAATTAATAGGCCTAAAGAGAAAGATAGTCTCAAACATAATAACAGTTGGTGATTTTAACTTCCCACTTTCAGCAATAGACAGACAATCCAGATAGAAAGTTAACAGGAAACACCAATTAAATTATGCATTGTCCCAATTGCACCTAATACATATCTACAGAATATTCTGTCCATTGGCTACTGAATGTGCATTTTTCTTAGCAGCATATAGAATATACTCCAGGAGAGTTAAAATAATATTCCACAAAGCAGGTCACAATGGATTTTAAAAGTTGCATATCAACAAAATGCAATAAACCTAGAAATTGATAAAAAAGAAAATTTTTGGAAACTGTACAAACACATGAAAATAAAAAATTTGCATTTTAGCAACCATTAGATGAAGGGAGAAATCAAAAAGGAAATATTAAAATGTATTGAAACAAATGAAAAGGGAGAAACAACAAACCAAATTCTACGGGATATAGCAAAACCAGTACTAAAAGAGAAGTTTATAGAAATCAAGAACAACAGAAAAAAAAGTAGAAAAGTTTCAACTTATCACTGCATCTCAAGACCTAGAAAAACAAGAACAAACTAAACCCCAAATCAGTAGAAGGAAAGAAACAATAAAAGCGGATAAGAATAACTAATTAGAAAAAATAAAAATGTTTTCAAAAGCAGAAAATAAATGAAATGGAAACTAAAATGATTACAAAGGAACAATAAGACAAAACAGGATTCTTTGAAAAGATAAAATAAATAAACTTTTGGTTAAACTAAGATTAGGAGAGAGATGAGTGATATAAATAAAATCAGAGTTGGAAAGAGAAACATTCAAAGTGCCACCACAGAAATGAAAAGCATCAACAGAGATTATTAGAAATAACTATATGCCAATAAATTTGATAATTTAGAAGACAGAGACAAATTTCTAGACATATACACTTTACCAAGGCAGAATCATGAATAAATAGAAAATCTAAACAAACCAATAACAAGTAGAGTAGTTCAAACTGTAATAAAAAGTCTTCTATCAAAGAAAAGTCTGAAACTGAATGACTCCACTGCTGATTCTTCTATATATTAAAAAACCCAAATACTAGTTTTTTATATATTATTCATGAAAATAAAACAGAAAATAATTCTTCAAATATGTTATACAAAGCCAGTGTACCCTTTTATCAAACTGAATAAGCATACATGAAAAACAGAATGGTGAACATAAATACAAAAATTCTCAACAAGATATTAGTAGACTGAATCCAACAGTATGTTAACAATTGTTCACCATAATCAGGGATGCAAGCATTTACAAATCAAAAATTGATTTGTAAATCAATGAACATGATACTCCACATCAGCAGAATAAAGGAAGAAAACCATTGTTCATTTCAATTGATGCAGAAAACTAAATTCAAAATCTCTTTCTGATGAACAACACTGTACAAATTAGGCTTGCAAGGAAAGTATCTCAACATATTAACAGCCATTTATAATAAGCCAATAGCTAACATTTTATTTATTTATTTTGTCATCCATTCATCCTTTTATTATCTTAAAATTTTTGGCTAAGTACTGAAACCAGGGCCTCAGAAATGCTAGGCAAGCAGTGTATCACTGAGTTACATCCCCGATTCTCACTAGTTAACATCACTAGTTAACATTATATTGAATGAGGAAAATCTTAAAGCTTTTAAAGGAGTACACAAATACAGAAATGCCCATTGTCACCACTTTGATTCAATATAGTCCTAGAAACCCTAACCAGAACTGGCAAGAGAAATAAAGGGCATGCAAATTAGAAGAGAAGAAATGAAATTTTCAGTGTTTGCAGATGAATCATATCATCCCCACCACAATTTATTAGAACTATTACAAAATTCATCAAAGTGATCAAAGTGGAGGATACAAGAACAACATACAAAAATAATTAGTGTTTTATATGCAAATAAAATTATCTGGAAAGGAAATCAAGAAAGCATTACTGGGCTGGGGATGTGGCTCAAGCGGTAG